CAGTGTTATTTCAGAATAACTGACGTTATTCCAAAGTAACAAAGTGCACATCTACACTACAAGCAGTGATTTTGACATAATGTCAAATTGGAGGGCTTCTTACTCCGACTCCTGTAACGAAGAGTAAGGAAAGTTGGAGGAAAAGTGCTCTCTCAGACTTCCTGCTGTGTAGACAGTGCCAAAAGCTGAAACTATTTTGAGTTAAGCTACGCAGCTGACATAGTTTAAATCGTGTAGCTTATTTGGCTTTAGCCTTGCTGTGTAGATGAGCCCTAAGGTGCCTTAAGCTACGCAGGTGACATAGTTTAAATTGTGTAGCTTTTTTGGCTTTAGCCTTGCTGTGTAGATGAGCCCTAAGGTGCTACCGGACTCCTGTTTGTTTTTACAGATACAAACTAACACAGCTACCCTTTGAGATTTGTGGTCATAGTTGATAATTTCTATAGTTATTTTTCAGCTGAAAGCCAAATTAAATCAATTAACAGGCACAAAGAAAGGATGTTCTCATTAGTTGACATAAGTGAATTTGCCTGTATATCTTTCCATTGGGAGAAAAGAAGAGCAGGAACAGTTTTTAATTAAAAAGAGGGAGAGGAAGCTAAGAGGGTGGAGGTGAAGTAAATTTTTCAAGGGGTGTTGCAAAATGACTTCTCCAGGATACACTGTGTTACACATTATATATGACTCAGTCCTGTCTAATCCAATCTGGAATGCTAATTCTGGATATATTAAAACTGAAAATAACTGAGCTACTGGAATCTTATTAAAGAGCAGACACTCTTACTCAATTCAGCACTATGAAAGTTCAAAGAAAAATATTCCTCGAACTGAAAACATCATGAAATATGCTTCAAAATACGACAGTCATTAAAAAACTGTGAAGGCACATATTTCCTTTAAACAGTCAACAAAATTACAGACCATAACCAAAGGATGTAGCAGGCAAATAAGTATGTATGTAAGAAAATGTAGTTGTAGCCGTATCAGTCCCAGGATATTAGAGGGACAAAGCGGGTGAGGTAATGTCTTTTATTGGACCAACTCCTGTGAATAACAGGGCTTTGAGGAAGAATTCTGTGTGACTCAAAAGCATGTCTCTCTCTCCAACAGAATCTGGTCCAATAAATGATACTATCTCTAAGTAAGAAAGACTCATGGAATGAAATTCTGCGAGGTGCTGCCTAAAGTTTGCAGCCCATGCAATAAAGATCTAGGGTAACGTTATGCAACTTTTGTACCCTCCTGTTCCTTGATTGCCCCAGCGGTTGTAGGGGCCCTAGAATAACCCAGCCAGCCTTTCCCTGTAGGATGCAGCATTGCCCAGAATCTTCACACTACTGCATTCTGAAGTCCTGCCCCCCTCCCACCAACAGTACCATCTTTCCATAGGATGGTTTTGGAAACTTACCCAGACCAAAAGCCATCCCTAAGAGAGTGGAGGGCCCAGGGCCTCTCGCCTGCTGTAGGTGCCTTCCCACCTGCCTTGCCTCTGCTCCAACCCCACCCTGCCCCCACTCTACTCCTTACCCAAGTCGTCCTCCTGCCAAAGCCCCGTCCCCTGAGTGACGTGATCTGAGGGATTACCAGTGGGCCTGGCACAGGGTGGCAACAGGAGTAAACCCCCCCATACTTACCACAGCCTGCTCCACTGCACTCCACCACTCCTTCCCAGCCTGCTGCACCCCACTTCTCCATGGCAGTGGGAAATGGAGTGCCCTAGGGCCTGGCCCCTCTGCTTCCCACCACCATGGTGAAGCTGATCACAGTGGGCTGGGAGAGGCACAGACTGCCAGGTTACAGCTGCTGTGGTGAGCGTGGGGGTATCCCACTCTTGCTGCTGCCCTGAACCAGGCCCTCCGAGAATCCCCAGGGCTGCCCTGGAACCCATCCATAGGATGGTTGAGGCAGCTGCTCCAGACCCTCTGAAGTTCAGGAACTGGGAGGGCCACCCCAAACTGTCATATGGATGGGATGGCTCTGCCTAGGTGCCACACTTTGGGGACTCCATGCTTTAGGGGTACATGAGGCCCAGCAGCAATGTTCCCCACCCCACTGCTCTGTCTTGCTGGATCTTGGCAACTCTTGGGAGAAGAAGGGCTGAGGCAGAGCAGGGCCTTGGGAGGAGAGATAGAGTGGACCTGGGACAGAAGGGGGTTTTGTCCTGAGCCTTACATCCCCCCACCATACTACTTACAGCAGAGTTTATAAGGGGATCCTCAGAAACAGACTCCTCAGAACAGAGGCTTTTAGGATCCTTTAACTCTGTATTAAGGGGCCAGAATGGAGGAGAGAATCTCATCTCTATTGTTTGAGTGCATCATTATGAAGTCTTCTGCATTTCTATAGTCCTGGCCATTCAAGGAACTCATTTATATATACAACTTAGTAGCTCAAGTGTATAGTAGGGAAGAAAGAACCATTCTCTCCAGTCCACTGAAAGGGGCGAGGAGGTTAAGTAACTTGACTAAGATCATAGTAAGTCTGTAGCAGAGCTAGGAACAGAACCCCAATCTTTAGACTCCCAGTTGTGCGTTTTAAGCACAAGAGCATCATGCCTCCCCTAATATGTAAAGTAAAATAACAGACAGACCTACTGTTAAACAGTAAACTCATAGGTGGAGTGAGGGACCTTGTTGAATTTCATTCACTTATGTGGACTAAGGAAGATGGCCGAGGGCCAAGGATTAGATTCAACTTTGCATTTGAGATCCTTTCAACACAGGATTGTGGGAAGCTAATTATGGCTCCCCTATTCTATGGGCTAGTCTGTACTGCACCTGCTTGACATAAGATAGAGGAGCCATGGAAACTATGGATTGTGAAGGCTAGGACTATAACAAGGTTTAAAAGAGAACTAGATAAATCCATGGAGGTTAAGTCCATTAATGGCTATTAGCCAGGACGGGTAAGGAATGGTGTCCCTGGCCTCTGTTTGTCAGAGGGTGGAGACGGATGGCAGGAGAGAGATCACTTGATCATTATCTGTTTAGTTCATTCCCTCTGGGGCACTTGGCATTGGCCACTGTCAGCAGACAGGATACTGAGCTAGATGGACCTTTGGTCTGACCCCCTATGGCTATTCTTATGTTCTTATTTGAGGTAAAGGCAGCTGGCAGAGGGGACAGCTCAGTCCAAGCAGGACGACTCAAGTTCTAACCCTGTTTCACCAAGGCATGGCAATTGGTTACCATATGCAGCATAGTGACAAAGATGGAGTCCTAAATGGTCACAAATTTGTAGGACTTCATAGCCATGTAGCTTTATGTAAAGTAACGTGCCTCAGTGTTCTTTGCCAGCCCCCCTTTCTGAAAGCAGAAAGGATTTTACCTTATCATTGGTAAAGGTATGCTGGCCAGAATATTGGGTCTAAAGCGGATTCCAAGACAGGAATAAAGTTTTATCATTTTGTTTTAAGTTTTAAAATTAGTATTGTGAATGTGGTAAAAAGTATGAGAATTGTTTTTTTTAAATTGTAATTTGATGTCCTTGTTCAAATGTGCATATTACTTCTGTGACAAAGGTTGATTTTGGTACCCCCCCCCCAAAAAAAACACCTTGTTAGGTGTTAGAGTGAGGAATGTGCAGGTTAAGGGTATGTCTACTCTAGCCCCCTAGTTCGAACTAGGGTAGCTAATGTAGGCATTCAAACTTGCAAATGAAGCCCAGGATTTAAATATCCCGGGCTTCATTTGCATGATCCCTGGCAGGCACCATTTTTAAATCCCCTTAGTTTGAACTGACTGCCCGCAGCTACACGCGGCAGTGAAGCAGTAATTCGAACTAAGTCCTTAGTTTGGATTAACCGTTACACCTCACTGCAGGTGTAACTAAGGACTAAGGACTTCTGACTGCTGCGTGTAGCCGCGGGCAGCCAGTTCAAACTAAGGGGATTTAAAAATGGTGCCTTCACATGGTGCTATTGAGCTAGCGTGGCCTCACTGGAAAGAGAGAGAGAGAGGGTATATCTACACTCCCCCCCTAGTTCGAACTAGGAGGCTAGTGTAGACATGCTGTAAGAGACAAGCATGAAGGCCAGATGTTCAAGGGAGAAACCAAGGACAGACGTAGAAACTCCAGAAGATTGCTGTATATCCACATTGAGAAGTAAGTAGTGGGCAAATCAACAGCTCTGAAAGAAGGCAAGCATTCATTAATTGGGACAAAATATTTGTGATTGAAACCAGCTTAGCATGGCAGAACAAAGAAGATAAGGAGCAAGAGAAAGAACTGGAGATAAACATTCATCAGAAAAACAGCATGATGATGCAAAACCCACTGATCCTGATGAGAAAGAACTATTATGAAAGGAGAACTGTTGTGCCTTAAGAACAGGGATGTCCGGCCATGACTGGAGCATTGGTCCAGACTGATAGATCCCCACTTCCGCCCATGATCGATCCACAGACCATGGACTAGTTAACAACACATCAAATGGGGGGGGGAAGAATGAGTGAGAGTATGTGTGTGTGTGTGTGTGCGCACACACGCATGCTGCTTTTCAGCATATTGCCCTTTGCCCCTATAAAGTTCCCAGGTGCTTCTTATAATAAGCATAACAACATGGTTATCTTCTCTTTTCATGCCTTGAAAGAATAGGGAAGCCATGGCTAGGGCTATGTATTACAGAGCCACATACAACACCACTGCCATATGTTTGGTGTACTCTTTGTCTGTAGTGCTCCAGCTGCGTTTGCAGGTAGCTCTGAAGCGGCAGAGTTACGCAAATGTCTCTGAAATTAGTGAGATAATCTTATGCATTTCAAAACTATTGAGAATAAAGGACTGAGGGAAGTGAGGTGTGGGAGAATAAAACTGAGCTCTGGACAAATGTTTGGCTAGAGTTTCCCCTACAATATGTACCAGTTCCGACTTACATACAAATTCAACTTAAAAACAAACCTACAGTCCCTATCTTGTACGTAACCCGGGGACTGCCTGTATAAGACACTAGAGAGGAAAGGGATGACTCCCACTTGCATGCTGAAAACAAGAAGTCCCACCTCTGAGAGAGTTTTATCCAGTCTGGCAGCTAATTTCCCAACCTCGTAGAAAATGTGAGGATTTGTAGAGATTGTTGCCACGGTCAGACCTGGGAGATAGGTCAGCAGCCTCACCATGTACTTTTTTGTCACAGAGCCAGTACCTAATAGGCAAATAGATACATTGTGAATTATTTCAATGCACTCCACAGATTATTGTGAGTAAAAGCAAGGAGGTTTCTTCTATTACAGAAGAAATAAGAGATCATTCAAAGACCTGATTTACTAGGTGACACTAGGGGTAGTCTACACTACGAGATAAGGTTGAATTAAGATATGCAACTTCAGCTACATTAATTGCATAGGCAAAGTACCTTAACTCGACTTTTGGTGCTGTCCACACTACAGGAACTCAGAGGGAAAACATTCTGCCTTCGACTTCCCTTACTCCTCGTGGAAGCAGGACTACCAGAATTGACCAGAATGCCCCTCTTCGTTCAAATTAGCATGTTTTCACTAGACCCACTAATTTGAACCCTGGAAAAATCAACAGCAGGAGCTTTGATCTTTGTAGCTTAGACCAGTGTTTCTCAACTTTTTTTTATAAAGTACCTCTTATAATTTTTTTTAAAGTACCCCCAGTACCTACAGTTTTCAGACACACAACATTTTTTTCCCCCCACCATTGCAACACATTTGTTTAAACAACTTAATCGTAGCCAGGTGGGCAATGAAATTTTTGGATGTAAAAAAGTACAAAAATAATAAAGCACTGTAAAACAAAATTTCAGTTTTCTCCAAATTTCAATTGTGTTGACGTACCCCACAGACTCCTCTCGAATATCCCTTAGAGTACTCGTACCACTGGTTGAGAAACACTGGCATAGACATACCCTAAGTAGATAGGTCCAGCGGCTGTGCTCAGAGACCTTCATCTGGTCAAACACCTTATGCAATCTACTTACAGCATTCTCCCACCACCACCTTTACAAACTCATGAAGTACACAATCTTTAACTCATTCAGGTTGTCTAGACTGCAGAGCTTTTCCGGGAACAATTTCCAAAAAAGTGGACACGTTCTTTCGCCATCCCCATAATCCTCATTGTACGAGGAAGAAAGGATGTTCCAAAAGAGGAGGTATTTTCTGAAATTTGGCCCCGTGTAGATGGGCCAAATTTCAGAAAAGCCTCTTCCAAAAGCAGAAAAAATTGTGAACTGCAATTTGTGTATCATCTTTTTTCAACTTTTCTTTTCACTCTAGACATAGGCTCAGCCTAGAAAACAGGAGACACAAGGTATCTCTCAGGCCTGCTAATCTTACCTCTGGTGCTTCCAATGCCTTTTTTGCTTTCTAGGTGAATGGGCTTTGGAACTCACCTCAACCCTCTGAGATAGGCACACAGCTTTATCCCTCAGGCTTACTTCAGGGCAATTCTACTGGTGATCAGAGTACTGATACAACTACTGCTGCCCAGCATCTTGTCACACCTTGCTAGGCTAAAATTCTCTTCTATAGCTATAACTACTTCAACCACTCTTAATATACCTCACATGCCTCACACAAGTGATTACAGTGGTGCACAAGCATTTATCAATACTTTTGCAATTGCACTTGTTCTGATCCAGACTTCCTAAAGTTGCCTTTTGTTCTGGGTCCCCCTGCACCATGGTACCGCCAGTTTAGGACTAAAAGCAATGACATTTCACTTGCATGGGGCAATTGGTCTTCCTTGCGTCATTCTACAGCACACCTGATATGCTGGCAGTGACCTTTCTGGCCAAGCCTGTCCTCTTCAGAGAAGTGATATTTCACCAATAAAGCCTAAGTGCTCACATTTTAGCAGTAGAAAATTCAGTGAGACAGTGAAATGAAGTAGTGTCTGGACCTGAAGGAGTTACCTACAACATATTGCTATTGCAACAGTTCAGAGTGCCGTTTGTGAAACCTGAGCACCTGAAGGAGCGTGACTGTTGCACATATTCTGCACTGTTCCAGCTACTTGTTTATTTATGCTGGTGTTGAATTCAGTGACATTGCTCTAGAGTTACACCAACAAACAGAACAGAATGTGGCCCAGTTATTACTGGGACAAATCCTGTGGGATACTCAGTGGTATCTTTCTGCTCTTTCTGGTAGTCTCATGCCACAGTAAGTGATAGGATGATATTTTTCAGAAGATTTTGTAATCTCTCACCTAATGATTCTAGAGACATTATGTTGCCATCTTTAGTGAGATAGGGTGTCGCTGAAGGGAATCCTTCAGCATTCAAAAACATCATGATTCGGGTCTGCACTTCAATAAGTTCAGGATTCTGGCTGTCTTCACAGTTGGTGATTTTGAGGACGCACTCATAAGCACAATCTTCTGTTCCCTCACTTCTTGAAATAGTCACCTGAAAATTTTGATCATCATAGCTAGGGAGTGATCTGATAGCAGATACTTTTAATCCAAACACCCTTTCAACTAATTCAGTGGCTTCTTTTTCATTGAAAGTTGGTTTAGTGAAAGTCTGGGGTTGCTGAATGTTTCCAGAAGACATTGTGCATCTAGGAGAAAACAGATTAGAAGATTTCAGTTGTAGTCTGTGCTTTAATACAGACATAGACATTATACCAAAAATAGACTCTATACTGAGGGTGAAAAAAAGCTTCTGTTTAATGAAAATTTAACCATTCATGAATCTTTTCTCTTTCTTCACTATTTTTATATGTAAACTCACTTCATCCTTTGCTATAGTTTCCATGATAAGGCCTGATGTATACCCTCATTTTTGGTTGAGAAATAAAACAATGTATTGGTTGTTATCTAATAAAATTCATAAACATAAAATATCACCAGTCAATGACAAGGTCACCAGGCATATTTCTAAAGTACCAATAATTTCCTAAGAAATAAAGGGATCAAAAAGTCTACTGCTTTTAAATTCAGATACGTGATTAGATAACCCTTTCAACCAACGTTAACTTGTAAAAAGTAAACCCAATCCTTCTGCCAGATGCTATCATTCACAATATCAAGAAATATTCAATGTCAATAAGTCAACAATTTATTCAAAGAGTATACTATCATTCACACTATCAAGAAATATTCAGTGTCAATAAGTCAACAATTTATTCAAAGAGGAGAACCATTCAAAGAATCCAACCCATTCCCAAAAGGTTCATCTCTCTGTTTTTTCTAATGCAATTTTGTGTGTGTGTTAGGTACAACTGCACAACCTCAGCCTAGCCTTGATTAATCTTGGATTCTGTGGAAGTCCGCAGCCTCATACTTTGTAAAGTTTGGTGTGGCTGAAGGGCATACTACCTATTTGGGTACAGAGAGGGAGAGAGGAGTGACTGCTTCTCAAAGGGCCCATCTACAGCCACAGAACTATACTCTCCAAGCCCCAGTAACAATCTTATTAGTGACCCACTCTTGATAAAAACCAGTTTGCTCTAGACAGAATCAAAAACCATTTTAACTGAATTCCTGAACTGTGCCAGAACCCTGCCTTATCTTATGATACAGCGCCCCCTCATCCTGAGACCTCATCCTGAGACTTCTGCTTACTCCATCTTTCAAACTGGTTCTTTCCTCCGTTTTCCTGGTTGGGGGGCGGGGGGGGAGCCATAACCCTGCCAGGACTCAGAGAATGCAGCTTAAGACGCCTCCCAGCTCAGAATCAGTCTCCACAGGGTGGGCAGCAGGGGTGGGGGAGAGGCTGATTTGCACCCTGGGACGGGTCCCAGCCAGTGCCTGCAGCCTCTGCTGCCACCTGGGGTCCCAGCCGCCAGTTCCAGGGGATCCCTGCTGCCTCTCGGGTCCTGGTTACTGACCCTGCAGGACTTAGCCGCTGGGGGTTCCGCTGCTGCCTGGTGGACTCCGCTGCAGGCCCTGGGACCCCAACCATCAGCTCCATGGCGAGGGGGCGCAGCTCAGCGCTGCTCCGGCACTCACCGGCTCTGCCAGACAGCGGAGTGCCCCAAACCTTACAGCGCTCAGCCAAACCCTCGGGCGTGGGGAGCAGGATCCGGGAGCTAGAACCAACCTCTGGGTTTCCCTTTTCAGCAGCAAAGTGCCTTGAAAAGGTCAAAAAACAAATCGGGCATTCGGGGCAGGACGTTGCGTCACTTCGGATCCTGGGCTTGTGAATCCTCCCTCCCTCCCTGCTGCAAAGCGCAGTGGCTCTAGCGCCGCTCCCGAAGGGTTCGGCTCCGCCACTCACCTCGGACACTACTGGAGCCGGACGAGTTCCGCCGAGCAGAGCTGACGCCACCGGCTCCCCAGCTCTTCTCGACTGGCGAGTTGTGTGAGGCAGCGTCTGATTGGCTGCTGGAGAAGCCCTGCCTTTGTACAAAGAGCAGCTCTTCATTCCCAGTCAGACTAGCGAGGCAGGGAGCGTTCTCTGGGGGTGTGAAGGAGCAGGGCTGGGTAAGTTTTGCTATTAGTCTGCCGGTGGGGGTAGTGTTCATTTCCTGAATTTTAAAATGGAGACAACATGGCTGTGTCTAGACTGGCAAGTTTTTTCAGAAAATCATCTGATTTTCCGGAAAAACTTGCCAGCTGTCTACACTGGCCGCTTGAATTTCTGGAAAAGCACTGACGATCTAATGTAAAATCATCAGTGCTTTTCTGGAAAAACTATGCTGCTCCCATTCGGGCAAAAGTCTTTTTCCGAAAGACTTTTGCCCGAAAGCGCCAGTGGAGACAGCATAGTTCTGTTTCCCGCAAAAAAAGCCCCGATCGCGAAAATGGCGATCGGGGCTTTTTTGCGGGAAAGCGCGTCTAGATTGGCCACGGACGCTTTTCCAGAAAAAGTGCTTTGGCGGGACACTTTTCTGGAAATCTAGATGCACTTTTCCCAAAATGCTTTTAACGGAAAACTTTTCTGTTAAAAGCATTTCTGGAAAATCATGCCAGTGTAGAGTAGCCCATGGATTTATAGAGATCAAATACCCTCTGTTCAAACTAGGGGAAATGCACAAGTCAGATTTGAATACCTTTGTGGCAAAAACAATGTGAAGGACAAGCCTCTGATCAGGTCCAATTTCTTAATGCCCTACAAACTTACTGAAATAGAATCTTGAGCCGGCTGCTGTCTCTCTGTGACTGTTCTGTGCACTTCCCTACCACCCAGGTGAAACAAAAGACAGGACTATGCAACGCTTTAAAGACTAACAAGATGGTTTATTAGGTGATGAGCTTTCATGGGCTAGACCAACTTCCTCAGATCAATTTATGGAAGAAAATTGGCACAGCCATATATACCAAAGTGATACAATCAAAAAAAGTGAACACATATAAAATAGACAAATCAGATCTTAGAAGGGGGGTAGGGCCCAAAGGGGGAAGGTTAGTGTCTGTGAGATAATGATATGAGGGGTGATAATTGGGGAAGCTATCTTTGTAATGGGTAAGATAATTAGCATCTTTGTTAAGGCCCATATGTAAAATGTCAATTTTAAGCATGAATGACAGTTCTGAGGCTTCTCTTTGAAGTCTGGAGTTAAAATCTCTTTGAAGCAATATGCATGTTTTAAGGTCATTGAAAGAATGGTCAGTCTGGTTAAAATGGCAAGCAACGGTTTTCTCTCTGTGAAAGATGCCTGTTTTATGTGCATTGATTCTTTGGCGAAGTGTCTGAGAAGTTTGTCCAATATACATAGCAGACAGACACTGTAGGCACATGATGGCATAAATTATATTTCTGGATGAACAGGAATATGTGTTCTTGATCTTGTAACTGGCATGATTAGGTCCAGTAATGGTGTCAGCAGAGTAAATATGTGGACAAAGCTGGCACCGGGGTTTGTTGCAAGGGAAAGTTCCAGGGTTGATATTAGTGTGGTATGTCCTGTGGTTGTTGGTAAGAATCATCCTGAGGTTAGGTGGTTGTCTATAGGAGACTATGGGTCTGTCTCCCAGAGCCTTTCGGAGGGTAGTATCCTGATTCAGTATAGGTTGTAGTTTATTGATAATGCGTTGGACGGGCTTAAGTTGGGGGCTATAGATGACACGTGGTGTTCTATTGTTGGTTTTCTTGGGTCTATCTTGAAGTAGATGGTTTCTGGGTATTTGTCTGGCTCTTTCCATTTTTTTTAAATTTCTCTGGGTGGGTAATTGAGGTTTATAAATGCTTGGTAGAGATCCTGAAGTTTCTGGTCTCTGCAAGTGGGATTAGAGCAGATGCGGCTGTATCTAAGGGCTTGGCTATAGACGATGGATCGTGTGGTGTGTCCTGGATGGGAGCTGGAGGCATGTAGGTAACTGTAGGAGTCAGTGGGTTTTCTGTAGAGAGTGGTGTCTAATTTACCATTGGTGATTTGTACTGTGGTGTCCAGGAAATAGATCTCTCGTGTAGAATGGTCCAGGCTGAGATTGATGGTGGGGTGTAGATTGTTAAAGTCTCTGTGGAATGCATCCAATGTTTCTTGGCCATGGGTCCAGATCATAAAGATGTCATCTATATAGCATAAGTAGATAAGGGGTAAAAGAGGATGGGATCTGAGGAAACATTGTTCTAAGTCAGCCATAAAGATGTTAGCGTACTGTGGGGCCATGCAGGTACCCATGGCTGTGCTGCTGATCTGGAGGTATAAGTTGTACAAACTAGGCTGCATCTCTATCACTACCACCCAGGGGCATTCTGAGGACAACTACATTAAAGATCAGGATATTATAGAAAGGGAAGTTCTCTACTTCCTCTCCTGTGATTTTGCCTACCTCCTCTGTGACTAAAGAGGGGGTAGACCTGACTTAGGCGAACAGGCTTTAAAAGCCAGAGGCAGAACGACCAAGGGAGCGAAGCGGACAGGGGAATTTAAGAGGGAGTTTGAAAGAGCGAGGCCTACGATGGTCAGGAAGACCCACAACACCTGTGCCAGCACTGCTGCTGTCTCCTCTGCCTGTGCTTGTATCCAGACAGACCACTACTACCCCAGGCTACTCATCCATGGATGCCTCTACCTAGATCCTGGTGTGGATTTGCAGTGACTGTGGCTTGCAATTCCCACTTACTGATAGGGTGGACCATCCAGGGTGAAAGGTGCCTGCTGGTGGAATCTCTCAGGCAGCAGGTGGGAGAGCTACAGGAGGAGGGGACTAGGTTGAGGAGCATCCCAATCCACAAGCAATTCCTGGACAATATTTATGTGAATACAGCTGAGGTAGCTGTCCCAGAACATAAGACTGCTGCCACACCACTGGAGGAGGAGGAGATGGCTCAGGGAGGACACAGGCAGCTGGTTACTTCTAGCAGCAGGCAGTGCTCCACTCCTGCTCCCATCCCTCCCAACGTGGTACTAGGAAACCGTTATACTCTTCTTGATACAAGAGATGAGTAATCACCCCCTACAGCAGAGGAGAAGCCTTGTTCCCCCAAGGCTGGGAGGTCTGCTGCCTCCACTGTGAGGAGGAAACGTAGGGTAGTGGTGGTCAGAGACTCTCTTCTGAGGGGGATGGAGGCACCCATCTGTCGCCCTGACATGTCATCTCGGGAGGTATGCTGCCCGCTGGGGGACCTTATCCAAGATGTTACGGCAGCATTGTCAAGGATTACCCAGCCCTCTGACTACTACCCCATGCTACTCATCCATGTGGGCACTAGTGATACTGCGAGGTGTGACACTGAGCATATCAAGAGTCACTACCGCAGGAGTGGCCCAACCAGTTAGAGATGAAGAGCCAAAATAGCGGTGGATAGAGTGTGGAGAGCCATGTATTATATATTTATTTTTATCTATCAATAGATAGATATAGTACACAAAATGTAGTGATAAAAATAACATGACAGGACATTTCAGACAAAAACCAATAAAGTCTCTAGTCACTTAAAAAATTCATGGCCATCCATAGATCTTCAGAGAACTTGACAAGGGACAAACATAAAAATAAAAAAAAACTTAAAAAATACAGTAATATTCTCACAATAAAAAAAGCATTCCCACTATGTATTTTAAATTTAGCACTACTGCCCTATTATGTCCTGTGAGTTTTTTAAAATTAAACTGAACTGAGAAGTAAATTAGCACAATTTGAAGTGCCTGTTTCATTCCAGCTTGTTGATCTCTGGTATGGTTTCCTCATTTTTCTTATTTATGAAGATTAGAACTATAAAAAAGCCATAACACTTCAGGTCTGTCCCAGACTGCCAATATGAGAGGTTCAAAAACAATAAGGAAGAGACTCATATCTCAGAATAATTGCTTCAGCCTGGCAAACAATAGCCTCTGAATTTTCTTTAAAGAAACACAGTGTAAACCAGGTACATGCTGATTCTTTTTTTGCCCTGGAATTTAAATATGACATCTGTGTTGGCTGCTTTATTCTGCATCCATGAAGACTTTGAGTTAAAGGTGCTTCAGCCCTCTGCCCACCCCCCGCTCCAACCCAATGTCCCACCCCTCCACCCAGAGCCAGGCATTCCCAGCCCCCGCTCCCCGTTTGTAGCCAGACAGAACTCTCCCCGCCCTCCCTCTGACATCCTTGGGAGAGAGAATCCTTGAGAGTGAAACTCTGTCTTCAAAGGCTCCAGGGCTTCCAGAGGTGCTGGAATAACAATGGCCCTGGGTGCTAGACGGAACCAGATAACAGCCCTTGGCTGGTACCAGTAATTGATACGCCTACACACCGTCCCAGAAGAGGAATCTGATGCCCCATCAGAAAGAATGTCCGGCCCTAATAATTTAGTTATCTCCACCTCACAGGTGCAAATTAAGCTTTGGGCCCCCTATGGGAATGAGCGTCACAAAGATGTTCCAACTTAATTGGCATTTTAATGACAAGAGAAGCTTCTACGTGACCACAGGGGTATAAAGTGGGGCCCTGTGCCTCACTCTAGTTGGAGATCCACCCATATACCTGCTGGTCAAGCGGTCTTGGACCCCTGAGACTTTAGAGACGCCTTCGTCTCGTATCGACTGCTTCCCATTGGGATTGAGAGAAACATTGGCTTCGCCGGAGTAAGGATGAGAATACATCTGCTAGGTGTCTATTTTTGCGTGCATTCAATAAGAGCTCAGGGAACCAAAAGGGTTCCATGATACCTTTAAGTTATTGTTATTGTATTGTCTTTGTAGTGACTGTGTTTTCTGTAACACAGCAGTAACATTTAACAGCTCAGCTTGCCTTGTAACAATAAAATAGTAACTGTTTAAGCTTTTAACCTGACTCCTCCTGTTGCTGTAACAGAACCAAATACAATAAAAAAGAACCA